GCCTTAGTGGGCCCCATAGAGAGGTGTTTGGCGCAGTCTCGCGAAAATACAAATATCTCTCTACTCCGAGATCGTATCGATAAACGGTTTAATGTGTTGGAAACTAGACGCATAGATCTTTAATTTGGTTGGTAGATCACCTCGTAATTCCTTGTAAATTATGAGAAAAGATTAGAAACATTTGACCTAATGTTTAAGTAAAATTATGAACCTAAGTTGCGACAACTTTTGTCGACTTTTGTTTCATAACTCGTTTGACTTCAAGACTTATGATACGGATATTATATGATTAAAATACCTTAATAAATGACCTCTTGAGTGTATTAAGCACCGCTAGATTACCTGAAAATACGAGTTACAACATCCTTGATTCGTTTAACTTCTAATACTGGTTAATCACCCTTATACACTCTTGTATCACTTAAGACCAATAGGATTGACTTCTTATCATCTCAAAGATAATTCCTTCTTGGATTTATGTTAACTAATATATGGCATGAACTAACACATGTGGATATGGGTTGTAACAGTACGGGGGCCCTCGACCTCCTCGCATCACCTCTAACTAAACCTAGAGAAAAATTGAAAAAGAATGAATCAGCATAAGGGACAGACACAGATGGAAGAACTACAGCGTCGACAGTAGGGAAGAAATTATATGGCGAAGGAATAGACAGCTTAAATTTTTGAAAGAAACTCAACTAGTCATATATCCCCACCGTATGAGGAAGGATTTGTCTGACCCAATCGGCAATATAGGTCACCATCTAGAGCGGTCGAATAGTAGCTGCAGAAAAGGAAGAGTTGATTAACCAGCCCACCACAAGACAAATGTTAAATATAAAATGTAAACAAATGCGAGCACTTACAAATGGGTTCCAGGCGTTAGGGAAGCTGGAACGTAAGATACTACGGCCTTAGTCCTGACAAAGAAATAGGCAAGCCAGAAGTGCCGCCTAGCCTTGTCATCCATCCTCACCACCAAACATTCCCCTCTCTATGGCGAAGATTCAACAACGTCCCTCGATAGAAATAGGGGGCGAAGAGGTTAATTAGGAGGTGAACCGTAATCTCGACGTTGGCCAATTCGGCGAACTTCGCCAACATCTCGAACACCTTGAAAACGTAGGGGGCGAGCTACGTGGGGCACACGTTATAGTAGCAGCACAACTTTTCTATCAACAGCGGCAAAGGGAACTAATAGCCGATTATAAATGGATATGCGTAAAGGGTGCAGAATCCGGGATGGTGGACCCGCACTTCATCGTCACCCATGGAGACCAACTCTACGTGACTAAGGAGGCCAAGCCTAGCCTTAAATTTGGCTAAATTCTCAACTGTCATTGTGAATCAAAACCTCTCAGTCACCATTTTCGGTGCCTTATGGAAGTCGGATTTGGCATTAGGGTACCGAGGTACGATCTCCTCTATAGTAGGGAGGGTTTCCTCCTCAACAACAATTCCGTCGTATTCCCCCCTGATCAGGGAAAACGACATCTAGAGGGATAGAATGATCTTCCGTATGGATATCTGATGGGAGGTTCGACATTGTTGTATAGGGAGATAAAGAAGCAGAGAAAACAACGGAGAAGCGATCAAGTTCTACGAAGGAAAAGAAGGAGTTCTGCTTAGGAGATATAAGAAGTGTGGGGAAAATTTCAAAATCAATAAGCCCCTTCCCCTATTTATAAGGTTTGGGGGCACCAGAATCGAAACGGTTGTTCATGATTAGCACAAAGATTGAAATGGTAGAGCCAATCAAGTGCCACACGAGAATCGACATAATGCATCGAGAAAAGGTGTTATCATGACGCATGACATCATGAAATCACTCTTTCTCTTGGACCAGGTGGCTCCAACAAATTACCCAGGAAATTCAAGGAATTTGAAAATACGCTGCCCGCAGATAGCCATGTCGCCTAATCGCTACAATGACCACAACCTGTATAGTCGATTCAATAAGCTTGACCACAAATGACATTATCTGCTCATTGAACTCGTCCTCGAGGACAACCTCAACAAGCAGATGGACTAACTGTATGGGTCAAAAAATATATTTGATATGAGCAAGTCATGTCAGCAGCAAGATAGCCTTCATCGGTTGCCACGTGTTATCAATACGACTTTAACAAAGACCTGCCATAGGTCGAAGTGGTCCCTTAAGAGATGAAGGGTGCGGTCGAAGAGTCAACAAAGACCAAGGTCGAGGTTGAGCATCTTAGACAGAGTTACAACGACTAGTTTTAGGATAAGACACAAAAAGAGAATATCCCAGTGGATATTCTCTATACCTGTACTATTAAGGTTTTTTGGTACATGTTCTCTATAAATAGAAAGTGATACAATGATAGGGAACATAAGATATTCACTAATAGGAAAACACATTGACTTAATAGAGAGAATTTGGATTTATTGTAAGCACACGAGAAATACCTTTTCATGAAGATTCTCGCATAACGTTTCCACTGGATCCAAGAACTACTTGAACATTCGAAGGCTCATCAATCATTCATTGTTGTCAGAAGGATTATCTACAAATATCACCCTTTTTTCGGGTGACTCTTACATTCTTATTTACATAAATGTTATTCATTACTATTTATTATTGTTTAATGCTATCTTCCACCTTTGGGATCATTAAATATTATTAGTGTTGTCCACATTTATTGCCATTAGGTCAAACATACATATTATCTACTACAAAATCAGTTATTTTATCTTCTAGATATTACTAGTATTAGCTAAGATTGACTCTACTTTATTTAAATCTAATTGGTTGAATCCGAATCTAAATTTTTGGTCAAACAATTATATGATTTTATTTCTAAAATTTAAGGGGAAAAGGTTCTATTGAAGTGAGGATAACAATCAGAAAAAGGTTCCTCTGGCAAAATCTAGAATAACGAGCAACCAAAGTCAAACACGTAAACATATTATATTATACAAAGTATATATATCGCTTATGTTTAGTATTCAGATTTTTTTTCTTCAAACTAATAAGAAACCTTAAAGAGATAATTATATAGCTACTCTTTCTTTTTTTTTAGCTATGATGTCGAATACATTATTAAGCAAATTTATAATTGTATGTCTGAGAATTGTGGTAAATCGAGTAATTAAATTGATCGCCAATCCTTCTTTTATAATAAACTTTCCCTAGTACTAATATATATAACTTTTTCTAATTCATTGTTCATACAAATAACATTACAAAGGAGTTAAGTTTTCTTCGTTTAGATCTCCAATTGTAATTCGCTCACTTTAAGAAATAGAATTGAAAGAGAAGGCCTTTAATAAGTAAGCAACATTTTTACCAAAATTATCATATAGACAAAATTTATTTGTCTCGTTCATATAAAGAGAAGAAAAATTAGTAGAAATAATAAATAGATACTTTATATGCGTAACAAAATACAGATGGACAATGAGTTAATGGAGAGGAGGATATAGCTAAAGAGACAGTTGATTATTTCTCTAACCTTTTCAAAGATGACTTTCAACCAGACTTACATCGTGTGGACTGCTTTGATCAAAATATTTCTCAGGCAGATAATGAAGCTTTGTGTGTTATTCCAAATGAAGATGAGATTAGGAGAGCTATTTTTTGTCTTAATTCCAGTAGTGCTCTCGGGCCAGATGGATTTGGTGCGGCATTTTATCAAAGTTGTTGGAATATTATTAAAAAGAAATTCATTGATGTTGTAAAGAGTTTTTTTCAATGGGGCGGAATTAACAAAGTTTTACACCTCTTCTTGCCTCGTTCTTCTACCTAAAGTTGATAACCCCAGTTCTTTCAGTGAAATGAGACCTATTAACCTCAATAATGTTTCTAATAAAGTTATTTCCAAAATTATGAGTACTAGATTGACTTCATTGTTATGCAGAATCACTTCAGAAAACCAAACTGGTTTCATCCAAGGAAGATCTATTACAGAGAATGTGTTACTGGCTCAGGAGATTATTCATAATATGGCAAGAAATGTTGTCATAAAAGATGGATATGTCCATGTCATAGAATAGATTAATTGATACAGTATTTTTTATGGTTGTTCTGAGGAAGCTCGATTTCTCAGAAAATTTGTTAGACCTCGTGTGGAGATCTATTTTCAATGTGTGGTATTCTGTGCTTATTAATGGAGCTAGAAACTAGGGGTTTAAAGCAAGGAAACCTTTTGTCGCCAGCTCTATTTATCCTTGGAGATGAGGTGTTATCCAAGATGCTCAACCAATTATCATAAATCTAACATTTTATGATTTTTAGTATGTCGCGTCATGAACCTCAATTAACGCATCTGGATTATGCAGATGATGTCATGATATTTTATTGAGGTAGAAAAAGATCCTTAGAGTTCGTCGTCAACTCCAAAACTATGAGCAGTGCTTCGGCCAGTTAATTAATGTTGAGAAAAGTTTTTTCTTAATGAATCCAAAGGCTAGCTCTGGTGGTATTCAGGGCATGGAGATAACAAGATATAGAAATACTAGTTTTCTTATAACATATTTGGAGTGCCCATTATATGTTGGAAGACAGAAAATTGCTTATTTTGGTGACATGGTGCACTAGATTGTCAAGAATTCTACAAGGTGACAAGGAAAGCTATTATCAGATGGGGGGAAAAGCTATATTGGTCAAACATGTTCTTCAATCTCAATCCATTTATTTGTTGGCAGCTTTTGAACCTCCCAAAGTAGTCCTCAAGAAGGTTGAAATTTATATGGTTCTAGGGTACATATGAGGGAAAACATAGTTATCACTGGGCTTCATGGGCCAAAATGTGTTTTCCTACCGAGGAAAGAAGTTTGGGATTTAGGAAAATGGTGGATATCAGTGAGAGCTTGACGATGAATGGGTGGTGGATGTTTAGAAATAATTCATCTTTGTGGTCATCTTTTGTTAAATTCAAATATTGCAGCTTCGTCTCTCCGGTGGCTGTGGTATGCAAGCCTACATAGTCTCTAGCTTGGAGATCGATGATCAAGGTAAGAGAAAAGGTTGAGAATAACCTATTATGGAGGATACATACCGGTAATATTAAGTTATGGTAGGATAACTGTTCAAATATGGGGCTATAGCTCAAATTATTCATGTGGAAGAATACCAGTAGGATAAGATGAACAATCTTCAGAACAAAAAATAATATTTGACGCTAATATATTTGAACAAATAAAAGAAAAAGAATTGGATCTAAGCATAGACAAAATATTAGAAGTACCAACAATAAAGAATTGGTTTAAAAAACAGAAAGAAGAATATTATGTAGTAAGCCAAAGAGAACATATAATAGATTGTAAATACATCAAAGGTAAAGCACAAATACCAATTTTAAATAAAAGACTACTAAATAAAGAAATACAAGATATAAAAGCAAAAAATCCAATAAAATATGTACACTTAGGAGGAACGGAGATCCTAATAAAAGCATGTTTTAGGGAAGGAATAGATACCCCTATAGAAATATACTTGGCAGATGATAGGATTGTACAACCTATAGAAAAGAGTATAATAAGTGCTGTAAGAGGTAACTTAATATACCAAAAATTTAAATTTATAGTAAGTGCTAACTATTCAGTAGCAGTAGATGATAAAAATATAGATAAATCATTAGTATTATACTGGAAAATGTCTGGAATAGAATTAGCACCAGGAAGTAAAATATTCACAGCAAGATGTAAAAATCTATATGTCTTAACAACAAAACATAAGATAACAGCTAAAAATAAAATAAATAAAATAAAAATAGAAAATCCATTCGAAAGAATAGTATCAGTTATAGACAACAATGATTACAGTTATACAGAAATAGACATGGATGAAGATTTAGAAATAGTAAAAGAAAGATTAAGCACATCAAAACGAATAAATAATGAAATGCCAGAAACATCATCAAGAAGTACATCAAGAAGTACATCAAAAAGAATAAATTATACCACTCCACAAAAATTAATAGAACAAAAAATAGAAGAAATAAACCCACATCATTATTATATAACAGGAATAATGGACCAAAGAAAATATTTAATACTAATAAATACAGGGCAGGAAGAGAATTATGTTATAAGAGAACTAATACCAGAACAAGAGATAGTAACAATAGAACAACAAAATTCAGAACTACCAAAAGCGTTAAGAAAAAACGAAGAAACAACTGAAAAAGAATTAATTATTGGAGGAATACCAATATTAATAAATTTTAAAATATATCAAGGAGATAAAAATATTACACTAGGGATAAAATGGTTAGAAAAAGTCAAACCATATAAATTAGAAGATAGGCAATTAACAATAAGTTATGAAAATAAGAAAATAATAATAAAAAGAACTTTGATATAATGCCAAAGATATACATACTTTCCAAAATAATAGTAGAAGGATATTATAATAGATATTATACACCTATGGTGGATACAGGAGCAGAAGCTAATATGTGTAGACATAATTGTTTACCAGAAAGTAAATGGGAAAAGCTAAAAACCCCCATAGTAGTAACAGGATTTAATAATGAAGGAAGTATGATAACATATAAAGCAAGAAATATAAAAATACAAATATGGGATAAAATATTAACCATAGAAGAAATATATAGTTACGAATTCACAAATAAAGATATATTATTAGGAATGCCATTTTTAGATAAATTATACCCACATATTATAACAAAAACACATTGGTGGTTTACTACCCCGTGTAAACAAAAATTAGGAGCAAAAAGAGTAAATAATAAAGTAAGAAAAACAACACCCTGGATTAAAGGAAGTGAAAAGATTACCCAAAAATTAGAAAATGTAATACAAAGTAACCATAATATAGAGATAATCATTTTCTCAATAAATAAGATAAAACCACTACAAGATAAACTAGAATTACTATATAATGATAATCCACTCCAAGGATGGGAAAAACATCAAACAAAAATAAAGATTGAACTAATAGATGAAAATAGCATAATAACACAAAAACCTTTAAAATACAATTTTAATGATTTAACAGAATTTAAAATGCATATAAAAGAATTATTAGATAATAACTACATACAAGAAAGTAATAGTAAACATACTAGCCCAGCATTTATAGTAAATAAGCATAGTGAACAAAAAAGAGGAAAAAGCCGTATGGTTATAGATTATAGAAACTTAAATGCAAAAACAAAAACATATAATTATCCGATACCAAATAAAATACTAAAAATTAGACAAATACAAGGATATAACTATTTTAGTAAATTTGACTGTAAATCAGGATTTTACCATTTAAAACTAGAAGATGAATCTAAAAAGTTAACAGCATTCACAGTACCACAAGGATTTTACGAATGGAACGTATTACCTTTTGGATATAAAAATGCACCAGGTAGGTATCAACATTTTATGGATAATTACTTCAACCAATTAGAAAATTGTATAATATATATAGATGATATATTGCTATATTCTAGAACAGAGAACGAACATATAAAACTACTAGAAAAATTCATACACATTGTAGAAATATCAGGAATAAGTTTAAGTAAAAAGAAAGCAGAAGTAATGAAAAATCAAATAGAATTTTTAGGTATACAAATAGATAAAAACGGAATAAAAATGCAAAACCATATAGTACAAAAAATAATTAATTTAAATGAAACACTTGATACAAAAAAGAAGTTACAATCATTTTTAGGATTGGTTAACCAAGTAAGAGAATATATTCCTAAATTAGCAGAAAATTTAAAACCATTACAGAAAAAATTTAAAAAGGATGTAGAATATCATTTTGATGAAAAAGATAAAATATATATACAGAAAATAAAAAATATGTGTAAAAAATTACCAAAACTATATTTTCCAGATGAAAAGAAACAATTTACATATATTGTAGAAACTGATTCTAGTGATCACAGCTATGGAGGAGTTCTAAAATATAAATATGATAATGAAAAAATTGAACACCATTGTAGATATTATTCAGGATCATACACGGAACCACAAATTAAATGGGAAATAAATAGGAAAGAACTATTTGGATTATATAAATGTTTATTAGCATTTGAACCATATATTGTTTATAACAAGTTTATTGTAAGAACAGATAACACACAAGTAAAATGGTGGATAACACGGAAAGTACAAGATTCAGTAACTACAAAGGAAATAAGAAGACTTGTATTAAATATACAGAATTTTACATTTACAATTGAAGTAATAAGAACTGACAAAAATGTTATTGCAGATTACTTATCAAGACAAAGGTACTCAAACTGATGAGAACCAAGAACCAAAAGATACATTTGCAATCCTTACTACTCTATCCTTACAGATGGAGAGTATGGGAAAAAGATTACAACAGCTAGAAAGTCAGCAGCATGACTATAAAAATGCGGAGCTAAGTCGATCGGAAGACTCTAAACTTCCAGAGGTAGAAGGAGACGTTGGGAAACTCCATAAAACCCATGACAAAGTTTGTTTAACTACAGCTGCAGGCACAAGCAAACAAGTTAACAAGAAGCTACATACCAATGTAAACCTAAACAGCGTATTTGATAAGCCATTTACATCAAAAAAGCCAAAAGAAGCAATAGTTATAACCCCACAAATTACAACCTATGCTAATAGCCTACACCACAACAAAAGGGTATATAACCATATTACCCAAACGTATATTGAGAATATATATAAAATTCAGACATTTCTGAACCTAAACCCCAGATCAACTACTACTTCTGATCCAACACAGGATTATGTAACCCAAAAACTACAGGGATATAATAGGCTAATAGCCCAACCAAAAACAAAGGCCAACCTAGTAAAAACATGTTACAACTACGGACTACTTAGCACTGTATATACCCACGACGGAGAAGAAATAATTGGAATACCAGAACTATACAAAGCATTTGTCACTTTCAAAAGAATTACAAAGTGTAACTTATTCTTCATCAAATTCTATACAACACCAGCTGAAATACTATATGATGAAATAAAACCCATTATACAAGTGATAAAGATAGGACTAACACGAGATATGATAATACCTGAAGAAATAGAGCGACAACCGGAGATACAGAAAATGGAGATACCAAGTTTCTATGCCAACAAAAGAATAATTGGTATAGCAACTATTATTCAAGAATTAGCTAACAATTATCTACAAGGAAATGCTATCTGGAGTTATTATTCCAGAGACCAGTTAATGATATATGCCAACTCAAAGGAACTACGACAAGGAGATATGGATGAAGTCCAGAAATGGATTTTGTCATTATTAAAGCCAGAAATACAACCAACTACCAGAGCATTGAAGAAAGAATTTATTTCAAACGAGTTATTGACAAGATACTGTAAACTAGTAGGACACAAATATCCAGACCACATATGTTCAAAGTGCAGCGGAGATGATAACTATGTACCAGAAGTCCAACTAGAATGAAGGTATCAACAAG